CCAACACCTCCCTTGTTCAAGTTTTATTTTCCCTTCTATCCCCTAATATAGTGGGTTGTTGTGACCGCTCTGTGTCTCAATTTGAGGGAAAAAAACCTGTGGAACCAGTGTAGAGAAACGCACCAGAAAAAACTGACTGGCAGCCTGCTGACAGACTTATAATGTCAAGTCCCAGTGAAGGAGTCTATTTTTTAAATTAGCCTCCTCTACCCCTGCCCAGAACTGGACTACAGTTGAAATGTATGATGTTTGATTACAAGGATAGAAAACACTTTTTGACTACTGGTTAAATTGTGGGAACTTACTGCAGCTAGGATTAACAGCCTGAATCTGCAGGAAAATCCATGGGCAATCAATATTTAACAATTATTCCTTGAGCCCGAATGGGCTCTGAGTCAATAGCCCATGAGGCCGAATGGGCTATTGACTCAGAGGCCATGAGGGCCAGAGGAATAATAATCCAACTAGTTGGTCAAAAATATCGAGACAAAACAACTTTGGTCAGCAAAACGCTATTCAGCCGCCATTATTTTGGTTTTCAAAGCCGGCACTTTTCTCTACGATTGGGCTATAACATATAGCCTAGTAGTAGCTCAACCAATCAGAAGGCAGAATTGATAATACACCACCAGTTGGATTTTACTAAATGGGAATAGAGATTTCAGCTTAATCTTTCATTGCGTACTTGCTGGTGAGTAATTTGGCTTATGACCTTTTTCAGACTTCAGCTTTTTCAACAACTTTTTGTCACCTTTCCCAGCTGAGTTTCTTGTACAGGCTAGCCCATAACAGGTGAAACGGAGAGGAAAAAAGGTTATTCCCTTACATCTTTTAAACATATACTGTAAACTTTGGTTTATGAGCCGGAGGCTTATACATCTTCGTAAGGGTTATAGGAGGGCTTACAAAAGGAGGGGCTTATATCTGAGGAGGCTTACAGCCAGAATCGAAAAAGCATGTCAATACAAGCCATAGCAGTGCTAATCAAAATATGTTTTGCATTTGCTGGTTTTTAATTAAGCTTCAAAATGGCCTAATAAATCAAATTCATTTCAATACATTTGGGGGAGGGCTTATTACCCCGGGGGTGGATGGGGGGGCTTATAATCGGATGTAATTTTTTGCTTATAGCTAGATGGGCTTATAACTGGGGGGCCTTATAAGTGGTGAGGCTTATAAGCAGCAGTTTATGGTATAGAGCAAAACTACCAAACCTTATTACTTTCCAAAATTTATAATGAAAATGTCAGAACATTGAATTATTCTTTTCTTTTTATTTATAACATAACAAAGGTAAACACAGGAAAAAATAACGGATTCCCATTTTTGATATTTTAGGGTATTTAAAGAATACCCATAAAAATCCCAAATTTAGCAAAGTGAGACAAGTCCCAACCAGGGAATTCCCAACCAAGCTCCCTGATTGGGACTTGCCTCACTCTTCCAAATTTGAGATTTTTGTGGGTATTCTTTAAATACCCTAAAATATCCAAAAATGGGAATCCGTTATTTTTTCCTGTGAAAGTGTGCCCTCTGATTGGTCAATTACCCACTTACTATTTGGGCATTTTCCTCATAGTTTGCACAGATTTTTGTCTTAATACTGAAAGGAAGTTTTACAGAGACCTTACAAAGACCGTTAAAGATAACGTAAAAGGTTTTGTAATCCACTTTGTGACAGCGAACTACTTGTTCAGCAAAACGAAAGAAACAAACAAACAAACAAAAGAATTTGTTATGAATGATTTACACACGCCATCTGCGCGAGCAGATGACAGCACTCTCGTCATTCCCCTGCTATCTGCAAGTTAATTTAAAGAAGTTTTTCTCTTTTTTGCGTTCGACAAAGGAGAACGCTTACTATTTGTGTACCGTACATGAGGCAGTAACCGTTCTGTATGTCATGCGATTCAACGGTATGGACGCCATCTTTGACCGGCCTGGCACATTTTGCCTCGATCTCATGTGTTCAGTGTTTCTCACTCGGGAGCTGGTATCTATTTTGTGACACTCGTTTACAGCCTTTTGCGCGAAAAATAGTTTTAATCTGGGGAGTGAAATGCGAAAAATCAAACTTCAGACAATCGTAGGGAATTTATTACATGAGCTTCGAAAATTGAACATGAATGGAACGGTCACAGGTGTAGAAAATTCTAGGCAATATTTGCTTCTCCGAACAGATATTTTACAGAAAACTGTCGTTGAGAACCCCTGTTGTTTCATGCTTATGCTGAGCCGTATATTATTGAAATTACATGGGGTGGGGAGTGCTCATCCTGAGTCCAAGAAGATTTATCTTTTTTTAATCAAAATCTGTCTGAATAAGATCTGATTAACTTGCATCCATGTTCTTAACCGGGGGTCTCTTCTATTTGATCATTGGTCTCACTTTACCTACAAGAAAACTAGTAATAAAATACACTCTCCTTTGAGGTTCCTTTTCTTGAGAAACTTTAATTCTGAAGACCACCAACCACCAAACGTAAGAGTTTCTATATTTAATATATAGATTTAGCCAGGGCTAAAAGCGAGGCTCCCATTAGTAAATTTATAATTTAAATTAAACAATAAACTTGTATTCGAATTCCACAATTCAGTTAACTTTAGAGCACATTTATGTGACTTTTGAGGGAAAGGCTACCTGATTTTAGAGAAAAATAATTTGCAAACAGCCCAAGAGTGAACCAAATCTTACATCGAGTTGATAGCCTCATATGCACACTCAAAAACTGGCAATCATCTTTTATCACATTTAAGAGTCGTAATGGCTATTGATCACCGTAGATCAATTAGGCTTAGAAAAAAAAACCAGGCCAACGTTTTGGTGTTCGACAAGTTTACTTTGCAAAATCTTGTCAACAAATCTGGGTGCGTGTAAACCAACCTTTTATACCATGGACAGAAAGCAGTATTTCACAATACAAATTGCTCTCATTCAATATTCATAAACTGTTAAAAAAATTTTCCAAAATCACCTATACGGCCATCCGGTTCTCACTTTTGTAGTGCGAGCTGTAGCGAGTGTTTGAATGAACATTAACAGAGTTACGCTCCAAGATAATAAAGAATTTATCATGTTTATTTTTATTTGATGGTTTAACGCGCGGCATTTTGAGAACTCCTGCAAGCGATGTTCACTGAACGACTGAAAACAATCGGAATAGCGATTAAAATTGCAAGAGAGACTACTAACAATCAATAAAAGAAATATAATTCGGTGAAACATAAACAGAGACAACAATTTTCATTCAGGAAGACAAGTATTAAAGTGTCCCTAAATATCCTGAGTCTTCAAGCTTCAAGCTTAAGTTTGCTGAAGTTTATGTTTTAAGCCAACTTCCCGGTGTTTGTTTTTCAAAGACGAACTCGAGGCAAGAAAATCGCTCAAAGCTTTCTTTTCCGGCTAGAATTATAACTAAAGATTCTTTGGAACATTTTCTTTCTATTTGCGGTGAGAAACTGTCTAAAGGCTTTTTTAAAGTTCTGTAAGATTATATCAAACCAGATACTCGGTGAGATCGTTGTCTCAAATCTTACAAACGCGCATAAACTAAATTCCCGCATAAACTACGCTCCACTTCATTAAATTAGATACAAAAAAACAAACATGAAATACAATAATTTCTCTGGCTTACCATTCGAGATGCAGCTCCTGAAAGTTATCAGGTAAAGCCAGTATCGCTTCAGACTTTGCAATCCTCTTACGCATCAAGCCAGGTGAAAACGAAAACGATGCCATCCGAAATCGGATTTCCGACTTTGACAAGCGACGTTTTCTCAACCAAAAACCCAATAAACAAACTAGCCATGAGTAACAGAAGACTCCTGATAGCAGCTGAATTTCATTTTGTACATCCAGTGGAAAAAGACAGTTAAAAACATCACAAGTTGACACAAAACTCTGTCAGCTTCAGCTGTTAAAGTAAACAAGATTCAAGATGCTGCATAAATTTTGCGCATGAACTCACCTGTCAAATTTTGACCAATCAGAGCATAAAAATTGGACGTAGAGCGTGACCAACGCGTGACCATTGTGAGAACAAACAAAAGCAACTGTCTTCCCTGCCTGTAAAAGCTGGCTGAATTTTCACGTCCGAGGTCAGTTTGCAATCAAAATTTTAATTGTGCAGCACATAAACACAACATATTTCATATGAATTAAGAAAAAAAATTGAACTTGAGCCTGCGATCACTTGAAAACTAGTTTACTTGTCAGCGGATAACTTCAAAAAATACTTGACCTCGACGGGTCGACACCTGAGCCCGCGATACGGTCAAGTGATACTGGTCAGCGGGTACTCTGTTTTGACAGCTGTCAATTGATCAAAACATTGATGTCCAATATGTGTGCATTATCAGTTTTCCTGTGCTCCCAAACTAGTAAAAGTATGAGATTGAACGTTGTTCGCGATCTAGTAAAACAGTTAACTGGTCAGCGGACAGCTTCCAAATAAATCACGTCACCTCGATGAGTTGACACATGAGCCCGCGATATGGTCATGGGATACTGGTCAGTGGCTATCCTGTTTGGACAGCTGTCAATTGACCATATTGTTAATGTCCTATATTAAGGATGTGGACTTGCCAAGACACGCCTGAGACACCCCTCCCTTCCTTTTGATAGTCTCCCCTACCCCACCCATACAATCTGTAGACGCGTACGTACGTACGTACGTACGTACGTACGTACGTACGTACGCTCGGTCAATCACGTGACAACCAAACGAAAAGAGGTTGACCATATTCCATGGGTATGGGGCTCTGTCCCACGCGCGCTTCGCGCGCGCGGGAGCCCCGCTATAAGAACTTGTGAAAGTGTTCATGGTGCAAATGATTAATTATGTACACTTCTTTACCTTAGGCCCTGGAACCCGAATCTACAACGTCGGCTTCTTAATTGATGCCTAAGCTGTAAGCAATACTTTATCTACATTGTTTAAGGTTTATGGTTTAGGAAAAGTGTTACGTTTCTTCTAGCTGAACTAATTACAAACTTGTTATCAGATTTCTAGTTCCTCCTGTTCCAATTCTGAGTGGACTCTGTGATGTCCTTTCAAACCGGAAAAACAGGCAAACGATTTACTGCATCGCTTACAGTGGTATGGTCGGTCTCCAGTGTGAGTTCTTGTGTGACTGCGAAGCGTGACAGCCTGAGTGAAGCTTTTGTTACAGTGGTGACACTTAAATGGTTTTTCACCTGTATGAATGCGTGTGTGCGTTCTCAAGTTCGAGTATTGTGTGAACGCCTTGTTGCAAAACTGACAGCGAAAGGGCCGATCGCCGGTGTGAGTTCGGATATGATCCCGAAGATGCGAGGATTTGCCGAAGGACTTCTCACAGTGCATGCATTGAAATCGCTTTTGCTTTTGTCGTCTTTGTTCCTCTTGCGGTGAATTCAACGACGAAGACGAAGATTGATGTGAAAGAGCAAAAGGAAAAGCTCCTGGACTTTCCAATGCCTCGGTTTTTTGCTTATGAAGCAAAGGAGATAATCTTTCTTCCCTGAGCCTGCACATCATATCATGCGGCTTCATCTGCGACAGGTGGTGCTCGTAAAGGCGATCGGGATACAAGGTGGTGACGCAGAGTTGACAGTTGCAGCGAGGGCCATCTGGAAAGTGAGTAAAGATATTTTTAATATAACACCAAAATATATTATGCAATTAAGCTCAATCAATATATCGCAGTAGGACCCAGATAAATAAATCCAAAACACAATTGGAATCGCAAGGTTTTTAAATAAACGTATTGTATCAAAGTTAATGCAACTTTAATGATTTGATTATTGTTAGTGATTTGCAGGGGAAACTAATATTTGCTGTTAATTTCCTGATGGAAATTACTTTTAGAATCCAATTTCGAAGACATCACTTTTTGCCATGAAATTAAATTAATTGTGCTGTCTTCTGGGACAGAAAACAATATTGGTGTTTTCAGAGCACGCAAGCTTAACTGAATTGAATACACGTATACTCGAAACCAAAAATCCTAACTTCAAATCATGTGCACACATTTCAAAGAAAATTCACGAGGAATTTCTTTTATTTGTAGAGTTCTATCAAGTTATTACACGTGTGAATCTTTATCAATAATACGGTTTTCTTTTTTTCTTCACGCCACCTGTGTTTTTAGGCTTTTAAACAAAGGGAAGTGTGTCCTGCCGAGAGTTGCTCTTGGATTAAATAAAGAGACGGTTTTTTTTTTCAGCATCAATGCGTAGACGTAATAACACCACTTTCTTACCTAGTCCCTAAAGTAAAATTCTTCTTGGAACTAAACACAAGGTCACTTGCTGGGATATCTATAAATTATCCAATCTTTCTTTCTTTTTTTCCGTACATCTTGTGAAATTAAAGGTCATACTTTCTAACATAATTTGCACTATTAAAGGAAGCAAGTTGAATGAGTCAGAATATATATTTGCCATCCTTAAGGTGGAATACTTCAGTTAAAAGTTTTACGATTTATTTTGATAATTTGCTTTCTTTTCTCCCTAATTTTTTTCTCTGAATCATCGAAATTGCGGATTAAATATTCATAGTTAAAATTTAGAGGATAATGACTAAACATCATTACAGTACAAACTATTTCTTTCTTTACTTCAAACTTTTTGTTCGCCTCCTTTAGTTCACTGACATAGCTGGCACTTCAAAAAATTCTTACGATTTCGCTCTCGGCTTTTCATTGGGTACTTCTCTAGAACAAACTGAATAATCTTTAATATCGCTTAAATGGCGATGGATTTTTACGTACAGGCCATAATTTATCTCGATTCAAGGTGAGAGGGACACTGTGTACAAGAAATTTGTTTAAGAACTATCAGCCATGTCAGTATTTATCTATTACTGCTCTCGAGAAACCAGACTTGTGCTTAGCTCGGCTGAACAGTAACACGGAAGCATTTTTAGCCTGGCTCAGCGCTACCACAATGACTTCACTGGAATGACTGCTATTCTCAACAAGACTGCATAGCAAGACCTTGTATGTCAAATCTCGATTAGTGATAAAAGTACGTAATCGGCAAGTGACCGTCGCCGAAGTATAAGAATTAGACCGCATGTTCAAAAGAAAGACTCCGAGAACTTGTCAGAGTAGCGAAAGCAAAAATGCTTTTTAAAATATTGATTGCGTACATCGTTACATAAATCTTCCTTTGCGTAATGGAAGGACTGTTATGAACATTTGAAATTACTTAGGTTCTAATTGAAGCCGATTTCTGGCGCACGCTGAAAAATTGTATGGAACAAGCTATTTTTTAAACCGACAAAATCATGTCTAAAATGTATGTGGTGTTGTGTTTTTTATTCAACTTGCTGTGCTTAGCGAAAATCGCCAGGCAACATTTTGAAGAATAAAGGGAAGGGACAAGTAGAATGAGCAAAAAAGGAGAAGTTAGTAACTGAAGCATTTCTCCACATATTTGTGTCCTTCTTTTGTTACCATATCAAAAAAAAATGGTTAAAGGAAAATTTTTTATTTCTTTGTTAAACACATTGCGAGAGAACACTATACACGGTACAGAGACCAAATAATTTAAAGAGTGACATCTAATTTCTCTGTTAAAGAGTGATTCTTAACGAACAGGTCATGGAGTTGCGATACGGTGCTGTTGTAATGATCGCCTGTGCTGGCGACGTAAGAGCCATCTCTTTGCTTGGATTCTGTCTTGTCGAATCCTTACGGATTTTCGTGAACAGTGCGTCTCTAAATAATGATATGTAACTCTGGAAGATCGAACAACTACGTATACCCAGTATTCAAATGTACAAAAATACGCAGTTTTTTGTTCAAGAAAGACTAATTGCAACCCTGTTAATTTGCACAGTTAATTTTTTCTGCGCTTTGCGTGCAGGAAAAAACTGATCGACGCTGAAGAATGGCTCATTCTATTTTTGCATGCTAACAAAGTCTCGCAAAACATCATATGTTGCCCATAATTAAAAACAGGCAGGCAAATTAATAGATTAGGAGGTAGACTGTAAGCCTTACCTCTGTAGAATGGTGGTAATCTTGATACTCCCTCGGCAAAGCAGGAAGGGTCCTCATGATCTGATGAGTAATGCCGAAATCGAAGCCAGTCATTTCTCAGCAAAGCGGAGTTCTCCGTGATCAAAGCAACTGAAGATGGGGCTGAACGTCGAGACTATAACCAAAGAAAACGAGTAGTGATCATTGGTCTTGTGTTATCTTATATGTTCCATGAATCATTGTACCACATGTAATATATACAGAATGGAAGAAGGATGCATGTAGTCGGTATCAATGAAAGTTACTGAATGTTTTGTGGATGGGTGTGCAATAAATTATTTCATCTTTGTGTTATAAAATGTGCATCTATATTTTTTAAGAGCTTTTAGATATTGTTTGCTTTCCATTGTGTTTTATTGTCTTTTTTATGACTCAAAAACTGGTACAAGGTATGCCGGAAAACTCATCTTCGGTGGACAAGGAAGTAACCACGTAGAGAAGCCGCAGCTAATGACTGAAATTTTGCATCAACTCTTTTTTCGACCTTAAAAAGCTTGTCTTACAAATTGCAATTTGGCCTGGTTCGTTGGAATAAACGGAAATGCCATATAAACTGCTCACAATTGTTTGACATTTTCAACATCGAAACTACTTATAATGGAAATATTGTATCAAATTTCTGTAATGTCATAGTCATTGAAACAATTGTTCTGGCCTTGTTTGGAGAATAGAATAGAAATGGCCAACAAGTTCTCTTTTTTGTAATTCCAATATTTCCCCTGTTTTGATCGCAATAAGTACACATCTACAAGAATAAAACAAGAGTCGTAAATTTTGTGGGGCAACATTTTTTGACAAAATTCAATAATTTTCCATTAGCAACAAAATTGCCAGTTTACCCAATTGAAGAGTTTTGAACAGGTATGATAAAAAGTCTTTTATCTGCGTTTTTGATGTGGGTGAGAAACAGTTGTTTCAGATCTGTTTTGGACAGTAAAATACAACAAATCATTTATGGAGTTGTTTGAAACATGGTGTGAATTGGAGAAGGCAAAGAGTGAATAGCTATAAAAAAAAAACTGAACAATAACATTCTCACACGTCAGTGCTTAATCGATTGTTTCTCTGAAATGGTTGAAATTTACGGGAAATTACACTTTTGTGGAAAATAAAATCAAGCCTACGCTACACCTATTCAAATCCTTAAAAGTTTTGTTTTCACCGTGCCGCGATAAGATAAATATAAACGGGAGAAGCTACTAAGTGTGCGAAACAGGGCAGCTGGGGAAAGATTTGATCGCATTGGTCAACATTATATTGTACAAATTTAATTATTTCTATGTCCTATGTACGTAATATTTTGGCAATACAACTTCTTTAATAGAAACGGAAACTGTCGGATGTTTGAATTAGTGAATACTTCTTTCAAGTTGTTCTTTCCTTTACTCAAAGTTAATGTTAAAAAAAAATAATAATTGGTGTCGGAGTTGAATTTCATCGAATCGACGTTAGTCAAAACTCGAGGCGTCGACACATTTTCATAAATAGTCTAAGCTACATATTTAAATTCTAATCTTTAAATAGTGTTTCCTGCCACTAAGAGGAAGCAATCATTGTCTTTGCCTATCAGCATTTCAATTCTGTTTACACTCAGCCTTAACGAAAGTTAAGTTTTAATTACTAGCTGCCGACATTAAGTCCTCATTATTTCTGTCCAGAGGGCTAAGTTTCTAAGACGGTCCACGTAATTCATAATAATATTTAGGTGTTATTTTATGTCCGTCGGGCACAACTTTAATTTTGTTTGCCGTTGACTGTCCGTTGTGGGTAACAATTTTTATTCTCCAGTTCCATGTTTTTATTATCAAGTCAATACATTGTTAACTAAAGTGTGCAGGTGACAAGAGGCTAAAAAGCCATCTGAGCGATAGGGGATACTTGTCTCTATGTTAAACCAAATTCTCATCGTTTAGAATAAAGAAAAGTATACGTAGGTGAGTATTGAGAATTACATTTTTAAGCATGGAACTGT